AGAGAGAGAGAGAGAGAGAGGAGGAGGAAGGGGAGAGAGAGAAAGAAAGAGGGGAAGGATGGATGAATTGAAAGAAGGAGAGAGGGGAAAGGTATATAATTTAAAAAATTAAAAAAAAAAAATTGTTTGATTTAGGAAAAAAATGGCAAAATTAAACCATAAAAATATAATGTTTTAGGAAGAATGCAAGCGGAAAATGACTATCTCTTCATTAAAATTTATTTATTAGAAAAAAACGATTAAAGCATTTCAAAAAAGGAATGGAAAAAAAAAATCTTCGAAGTGTCGCTTGTTTTAGGTTTTTGTTGAATTATATGATTTGGATTTGCAAAAGGGTGGAGAATGGACAGAAACAGCTCGATGGATTAAATATGAAGTAGGTTTTTTTTTTTTTTTCTTTTATAGAGATTTAAAAGGAGAAAAAATAATTTGCAAAGTGTAGATGTTGTCAGTAATTACCTGATAATTCTGATTAAGCTGCACTAAATTTCGTTCATATTTAAAGCAGCATGATTAAAATTAAAAATTTTTTCAAATATTTGAATAATACATTTAGAAGTAAAAAATTTTTTCTAATATCCAAATAATACTTTTAAAACTAAAGATTTTATTTGCATTTAAATTAGACTTTTAAAATGTCGAATTTTCTCTAGGATTTACTTGCCAAGGAAAATGCAAGACAAATTAAATTTAATTTGTGAATTTATGTCGAAATTTAATTTAGGATGTTGAAGGAACGGATCATCATTGGGGTCAACCACATGTCGCATTCCTTTCATTTCATGCTTTAATCTCCTTGCGAAAGTTTATGCGAACAGGTTGCTCATCTTTTAATCAAATATTTGTTTTTTTTTCTTTTCTTTTTTTTTTTTTTAATATAAAGCGCCAACAAAACTAAAATATAAATTATTTCGAAATTTACCAAATAATATTAACTTGTAGAAGGATACATTTTATTGCATACTTTACTTTTAAAAAATCAATTTTATAATTATAAATATTAATTTCAGGTATGATTTTACTTGATTGTAAAGCAAAAACATTCGCTGATGTTTGTGATCGAGTGGCAAATGTAATGATTAATGAAGGAATTACTTGTAAAAGGCGAGATATAATGCAAATTTTAGGAATGAAACAAGCGTATGTTTATTACTTTCTTTTAATTTCATTTTTTATGTTTTTATTTTTAATTACGCGAAAGTTTGATGGAGGAATTAATTTAAATATCATTCAACTTTAGCAATTGTTTAAAAGAAATTTTTAATTTTCAGTCTGCATACCGAGATTTCCCTCATTTAGACATCCATTATCACGTCGAATGACTGCGCTATCATTGGCAGGTTCAGTTTTCGATCGGCGTTCGGAATGTAACTTAGTAGGAGCAGGTACGATGGATAATACTAGATTACATATAGGTATTAAGATTAATTTATATTTTTTCCTTTTCTTTGAAATTTTTTAAAGTTTTCATATTTAATATTGATTTTTCGTTATAGTAAGTAATAATAATTGTAGAGTTTTTAGGGAACACTTTCATAATTCACTTATAGATTTATTGGAACGAGAACCTTCATTTCAAACTGGTAACTTACGTAAACAACCAACGATAGCAGAAGTTGATGAAATGGAAAATACGATATTAACTGGGATGAAAGGAATACCAATTAGTGATCTCAAACAACAGAGATATCTCTTCCATTAATTTTTACTATCTTGATTTTTTTTCAACTAAATAATTCCAATTCATAAGTTTCCTTTTACTTACCGTATTTTTATTTCAGCTTTCCGAATCTTCCCGCTATACCAGCATTTCAAGAAAGGTTATGTTTAAATCCAACAAAACAATCATCGGCAGCACATTTCATTTCAGATTCACTTGGAAAGTACGTTTTTTATTTATCTGCAATTCTAATTATCGATTGTAGTATTTAAAAAGTGAAAAATGATTTCCAGAGTTAGAACACATTCATCGGAACTTCATAAAGGTGAAGACATCTTGAGAAAACTTCCAGCTGGCACCGAAACAGCGCAGGTGTCATTTTTTACGCTTTTTTTTTTTGAAAATACTGTTATGTATTGCTATTTCAAAAGAAATATTAATGATGTTTTATGCTTATGGTTTTGATGATCCCTTTTGATTTTCATTTTCTTTTTTAGCAAAATTGTGTTACTTCAGTTAAAACTTCAAATGTCTATGAAGTTTGATTGATTTCAAATCTATCGGTAAAATTCCAATGACATTCTATTTTCAGATTTTTGTTGGTGTAATTCCAAATCTAACAAAAACGCATTTTGTGATGCTTCGATTAAGTGCACCAACAGTGATGCCAGAAATTCTCGATGGTGAAATACCACTTCGTTTTGTTGTCGTAATTCTAGGACCAGGTCAACCGGATGTTAGTTATCATGAAGTGGGACGATCCATTGCGACGTTAATGACAAACATGGTTGTATTATTGATTTATTTATTTTTTTCTCTCAGTCATATTTCAATATGAATTTTTTAAATTTGATTGAAAAGATTTTCCAGACAATTCTTTGTTCGAATGATATTTAATGAGCTGAAAAATATTTACCAAAAAAAATAAATTCTCGGAGATTTATTTTAAGGAATTTAATGCTGTTGCTTATGAGGCAAATATTCGTGAAGAACTTATCTGTGGTGTGGATAATTTTTTGGCTGATTCTGTTGTTATACCACCTGGTGATATTGATAGCAAACGTTTATTATCCGGTGATGAAATTCGAAAAGCATTAAAAAAACGACAAAATCGTAGGAAAGTTATAGAGGAAGAAAATCGTATGTTTCACTTTTTTTTTTTTGTTTTGCTATTTGTTTCTTTTAAATTTGAAAAACAGTCATAATTTTTCTTCTCTTTTTTTCTTTCCTTTTATTTTCATGTTTCTTTTTTTTTTAGTTTTTTTTTTTGGTATTACCTTATTTTTTCCACTTTCTTTTTTTTTTTTCAGCTTCACCACCAAAAAGTGAACAAAAAAATCATGGTGATATTAAGAAACATTTCGAAAAAAGAAAAAAATGTCGATTTTTTAATGGGATGATTAATGATTTTGAAAAACGATTCCCTTATTATTGGTACATAACATTTCAATTATTTAATTATTATATTCGAGCAATAAATTTTGCGAAAAAAAAGAAAATCCACAAAATATCTACACTTTTTAGTAGTTACCACAACGCCGTAATTTGTATCATTTTTGATCGCGTTTACTGTCTTTTGCAGTCATTTGGGAAATTTCTGCGGATCAACTTAGACTGATGATAATGTGCGCTCAGAATATGAATATAAGACGGAAAGAAAGACTCCAGCCGCCACTGAATAAATTTTAGGTCTGATTATCGTGATGCGCTCAATTTTCAATGCCTTACAAGTGTCGTATTCATGTTTTGTGCCAGTTTTGCACCCGCAATAACATTTGGTGGTTTATTAGGTAAGATTATAATGTATAATCTATATAATATGATAATATATACCTATCATTCAAGATATTTTTATTGATTATTTTACGATAATGGAAATTTGCTTTTATGTGCTTATTTTAGAATTTCGATTTTTCACATTTTTTTTCCTTCTTTTTTTTTTTTTTAGTCTAACGAAAAATAAAAAAAAGAAAAAATAAGAAAAGATGGTACTCTATGATACTCTTAGTTAATTATTCTAAAATTTATTAATTCATTTTTTAGGAAAATATACCAATGAAAAAATCGGAATACTTGAAACTCTGATGGCGCAATGCATTTGTGGTGTGCTTTGGGGAGTATTCGCTGTTCAACCGCTTATGATTATGAGTGCAACAGGGCCGGTTCTTGTTTTTGAAGTTAGCCTGTATGCGGTAAGTTATTATTAAATTAATAATTCCACGATTTTAATCATTAAATCTTGAAATCTTTATGATTGTAGTTTAAATTAATGTACAAAATTGGAAAGTATTTCCGTTGTAATTTATCTTATTTGTTTATTTACTTTCAAACTTATCATATATTTATCAGTTCTTTTTTCTTTTTTTTTTTCTTTCAGTTCTGTACTAATCTAAATATTGATTTTCTAACGGTTCGACTTTATGCTGGCTTATGGGTGTTATTGATCTCAATTATTGCTGTCGCACTTGATGGATCTAGGATGTTACGTTATGTGACACGCTTTACCGAAGATATCTTTGCTTCATTGATTTCAGTGATATTTATCGCGGAAAGTGTACGATTTCTTTATCAGGTACTGAAATATAAATATAAATGATGTTTATGTAAAAAATTTGTGAAAATTAGTATAGAATGAAATTAATTCACAACAGAAATATGCGATAAATTTCAATTTTCTTTTTCCAAAAAAATATTTTAGCTGGCCAGTTTGTTCACATTTCAGTTGTGATCCAACTTTCTCATCCTTTGTTTTCAGACATTCATTCATAATCCGGTTGCAAGTTTCCAATTTTATCAACATATTCGTCAAAAATGCGAAATAGATGGTATCAACGGAAAGAGAAATGATTCACAGATGATGGCAATTTGTGATGGTGAACCAAATACGGCCTTATTAACCACTTTTATTATGATCTCCACTTTTGCATTAGCATACGGATTAAGACAGCTACGACAAAGTTACTATCTAGGAAGAACGGTTTGTAATTTTTGAAAATTGTCAACTTTATTTATTTTTCCAAAATTTCAGACTTATCTTTCAAAATTTGTATTAAAAAAAGGACGAGAATCTTTTTCAATTAATTTTTCTTTAATTTTATCTTGCAAAAAGAAGCAATTTTTAGCTTCGACGTGCACTTGGTGATTTCGGTGTGCTAATTGCAATTGCAGTAGTTGCAAGTCTTGCACATTTGTTTGTTCCAGATCCTTATTTGCAGGTAATTAATATTTAATTGCAAAAGATTAATTATTTTTGAAATTAATGTTATTAGGATTATTTGTCGAATTTGCGTTCATTTCAGCGTTTGGAAGTGCCAGATCATTTTAGTTTCACTAATATTGAAGCACGACGTCATGGCTTATTTGTTTCTGCATATTTACCATTGAATCAGTTATGGGTAATTATGGTTGCATTGGTTGCAGCATTACTCGTTTTCATACTTTTATTTGTTGAAACGGAAATTACTGAGTAAGTTTCCGGTTTTACGCCCAACACCTAACAAACAAGCTTTAATTTTACTTTTTTCTTTTGCACAGGATCAATTTGCAGTATAATTTTACCGAAATTATTATAGATTGTTGCTATCTCGTAAGGATCGTTGCTTGGTGAAAGGAAACGGTTTCCATTGGGATTTGTTGCTAATGGGTGCATGCACCTTGCTTTGCAGTATTTTCGGTTTACCTTGGATGTGTGCTGCTGCGGTACAGTCACTTGCACATTGTGGTTCACTTTCAGTCCCAAAAAAAACTGCACCTGGCGAACGACCTGGTATAATTTCCGAATTGCTTCATAGGTTTTTTTTCTCCTTTGTAATTATTGCATTACCTGAGAAGGTGTAAGATTGATCTAACGGTCCATAAAGATAGAAGAATGTGAGTCTTTTTTACATGATTTAAGAGACTGAAATTCTTTTGTAAGTCATTAATTGTTCATTTCACAATTAATTCTAATACATTCTATTCTCCTCTGTTTAGTCAGCAATTGCGTAATTTAAGGTTTAATTAAATTCATTATCAGTTTGTTATAATTATCAACAGGTGTGGATTATGTACTTGAACAACGAGTTACAACAATCGGTGTATCATTGCTAATGGGATTATTCGCCTTCGGTGGTTCATATTTACGACTTCCATTGGCATCTTTATTTGGTGTTTTCCTATATTTAGGTGTTATGAATCTTATTGGTGTACAATTCGTTCAACGTATTATCCTTTTCTTTATACCGGAAAAATATTTTCCCGATATACCATATACACAATCGGTAATTACTTGAGATATTTTTGTTATTTTAATTTAATATTATTCAAATTTCTTTTTAAGATTTATTTTTTTACAATTTTCTATTTTATATATTCCATCAAATTTAAGTTTATCGCAACTTTTTTAGGTTGATATCCGTCGAATGCATTTGTATACAACGATACAGATAATATGCCTGATTATCATTTATGCTGTGAAATACTTCAAACGAACCGCTCTTGCTTTTCCATTCATTTTGATGCTTTTTATCCTATTCAGACAGATTTTCCTTAAAAAAATTTTCACTGAAAAAGAGCTTAAAGCAGTAATTACTTTTTCTTTTTTATCTTTTCTTTTATTGAGTAGAAATTTTCCTCGAAATAAACTTTTTTTTTTTGTCTCTAAATTGAATTTACTCTCCCTACGATATGTTTTTGAATTANCTTTTTTTTTTTTTTTGTAACATCGAAATTTGAAGATGATTTTTTTTGTTTTCTTTCTTTTTCTCTTCCTTTTCTCTCTTTTCAGTTGGATGGTGATGATGAATCAAATCCCGAAAATGGTTGGCTAGAAAAAGATTTCTTCGAAGATGCGCCATTACCTGTATGAAGAATGCTTGGCATGTTTTAAATAATACATCAATAGCTTATCA